GGAGCCTGGCGGGTGGCAGTGACCTTTCATAGAGGGCACAGGGAAGAAGCAGCCAAATTAACTAACATGCCCACTAATGATCTCTCTCTGCGTCCTGATTCAGTTTTTCAACTTCTTTATGGGGCTGGCCCGGTGGCATAGTGGTTAAGCGTGCGCTCTCCGCTGCGGCGGCCTGGGGTTTGGATCCCGGGCGCGCACCGATGCACCGCTTGGCAAGCCATGCTGTGGTGGCGTCCCATATAAAGTGGAGGAAGATGGGCATGGATGTTAGCCCAGGGCCAGTCTTCCTCAGCAAAAAAAAAGAGGAGGAGTGGCAGATGTTAGCTCAGGGCTGATCTTCCTCACACACACACACACACAAAAAGAAACAAACAAGACTCCTGTGTCTCCCCGCTGCAGAGAACCTCTGGGGCAGCAGCGCAGCAACAGCAGCAACAGCCAACAGTTTTCGAGTGCCAACTACGTGCCAGGCACTGCTCTGAGCCCTTCAAATGTAGAAACTACATTTCTCACAAAACTACAATTCTCACAGAAATCCACTGAGATGGATACTAATATCGCTTCCATCTTGCAGAAGAGAAAACAAAGCTCAGAGTGGACCACCTTGCTCGGGGTTCTCGGGCTGCGAGGGGCCAGGACAGGACCCCGGGGGGCTTCCCTGTATTGCTCCTGTCTGTTCCTACCAGTGAGCGTGACTTTGTCATGTTTACTTTCTGTAGTTTATGTTAATCTAAAAAGCGTTTTCCTAAGTATAAAATTTTAACACTGAATATGCTTTTTCAAACGTACCTAAGTTCCTCCTAGAGATTCTGATAGAAGCTTCTAGTGATTCAACCTGCCCAGTTAGAAATCTCTAATTATGGAGATGGCCCGGTGGCATAGTGGTTAAGTGCGCGCGCCCTGTTGCGGCGGCCTGGGGTTCAGATCCCAGGCGCGCACCGATGCACCGCTTGTCAGGCCATGCTGTGGTGGTGTCCCATATAAAGTAGAGGAAGATGGGCACGGATGTTAGCCCAGGGCCAATCTTACTCAGCAAAAAGAGGAAGACTGGCAGATGTTAGCTCAGGGCTGATCTTCCTCACCAAAAAAAAAAAAAAGAAATCTCTAATTACAAGTTTAAAAGCTTTTCCTTAAGAAGATAGAGCTACGTAAGGCCCAGGAAGCCCTTTCTCTTTAGACTCTTGAAGTTCTGTCTATATTTATATATGTCAACGGTCTGAGAAAAAACACCATCAAAAAAATTAAGAGAAAATTGAAACATTCCCGAAAACCCGAACGTAAGAAGTTTTGACTTTAGAAAGGCAGTCCTACAAATGAAAAGAAGGGAGTCACCAAAACCCACATTTTGATATTACCCTTGTGGAAATGAAGCGCTCTGTGAACGGAACCTCCGAGAAGCAGACCACAGGGAAGCTGAGGGAATAAGAGAAACACCGGCAGTTACCAATACGAAACGCACACCTGCTGTTACTGGTATCAGTTTAAACCATCACGTCACAACTTGTCTCCAGAAAAGTCTAGGTCGACAAAACGAAAAGGTCCTTGCTTACAGTTACTGGTTACTACTGTAAGGATGGAGATGCGGTCACCACACCCTCTAAGGGGCCTACAAGCGAATCACCCCCCACCCCGCTAACCCGCTCCTTGACCACCAAGCGCCCAGGAGGCTCAGATCCTGTCGTGCCTACATGTGGGTGCAGCTGCCAAGACGGCCCCATGAGCCCGCCTCCTGGCCTTCTCACCCCTGTGTACTCCCCCCACATGGAGCTGGTTTCCGTGACCAAGGGCGCGCGACAGAGGTGATGGAAGAGAACTTCCGAGGTGAGCTTATGAGAGACTGCGGCCTCCCTCCTGGCTGCGGTTGCTCACTCTCTCTCTCCCCCTCGCTCTCTCCCTCCCATCTCCGGCTGTCGGGGCTGCCACGCTGTGAGAACGCTGTGAGAGGACTACCTGCGGCCTCCTGCCCACAGCTGGGGGAGAGAGCTGGGAGGCAGACCCTCCAGCCTCAGTGGCCTCTCAAGGGAACTGCAGCCCCGGCTGACAGTCTGACCCCCAGCCCAGCTGCTCCCGCAACCCTGACCATCAGAAAGGCTGTGAGATGATAACTGTTGGTTATCTTAAGCGGCTAAGTGGTGGGGCAATCCGTTACACAGCAGGGGATGACTGACACACCAAGGGACAAGGGCCCTCACAGTCTACCGAGGGGAGAAGGGCTCAGAACAAAATGCACTGTGCTCAGGCAGAAAGCAGAGGACAGATTTCTCGATAACCATCGTTTTCATAAAAATTGGGCTATAATTTACGTACCCCCAAATTCACCCTTTAAAGCTCACCTACCAGCAGTGGCTCCCCGCTCTTGGTCCCCTTGGCTGGTTTCTCCTCTCCCTACCAGCGTGGTGTGCCGGGTATGGACCTGGCCCTCAGCTCTTCTTTATCTACGGCCACTCCTCTGGTGACGGCTTTTGGTCAACTGGATTTAACACCACTCTACACTGGAGATGCCAGGTTCACCCTGCAGCCCGGGCTTGCACGCCCCCTGTCTGTCTGCCATCACCACGTGCGTGTCTAACAGGCGTCTCAGAACTAACAAGGCTCCTGTCGCCCCCTCATGCCCGCTTCTCCCAGACTCCCTCCCACCTCACACAGCGGTAACGTCATCCTTCCAGCTGCTCCGGCCAAAAGCTCAGTCGTTTTTGACCCTTCTCTCTCACGCCCCTCAGCCAACCTATTGGCAAATCCTCTTGGCTCTTCTTCAAGATCCAGGCTCTGACGCTTAAACCATCCAAGCCACCCCAGCCTCTTGCCTGGGTTATGACTAACACCGGGTCTCCCTCTCGTTCCCTTCTCTGCACAGCAGCTGGTGATCCTGGTAAGGCTTAGGTCAGATCATGTCAGTATTTTGCTGAAATCTCCAAGAGCTTCCCCCTTCATTCAGAGAAAAAGCCAAAGCCCTTCCAGTGGCCTACAAGGCGGTGGGCAGTGCGATCCCCTCTGTCACTCTGAGCCGGTTTCTCAAGGGCCTCCCCTTGTTCACTCTGGCCTCCTCGCTATTCCCGGGACACGGCAGGACCACGCCAGGCATGCACCTGCCCACCAGCCTGTGCCCTGACAGCCCTTCCCCTAGAACCTCACCCTCAGAGATCCGCAGGGCTAGTTCCCTCATTTCCCCTAGGTCTCCATTCAAGTACCATCTCTGTAGAGAGGCCTCCCCCATCATCCTATTTAAAACTGAACCCCTCCTTCCCGACTCACGCTTTATTCTTCTCCATAAGACCCATCAACTTAACATACTATGTCATTTGCCTAATTAAAAAAATTGCTGTCTCTCCACAGACCCCTCCTCCCATCAGAACGCTGGCTCTTTAAGCAGGGACTCCTGTTTTATGTTTATTACTGACGTATCCCCACCCCCGGACCAGTGTTTGACACCTAATAGGTACTCAATAAATGGTGAATGAACGAGTGAAGTCTACTGTGCTCCGTCATCAAATGCACACCCTGCTGGAACATTCCACAACTGGGAACTCGGCATCCTTCTTGGGAGCCATCCCACTGCTCAAAGCTCAGTTAGAGAGTTTCTGCACCCAATCTGCTTCCCTGCAGCTCTCCCCTACGGTCTGAGCTTAGCCGTGGACCCCGCGGGGACAAACGTGCTCCCTCCTCTCCCACAGGACCGTCCTTCAGAGCTCTGAGGACTGTGACTGCGTCTCTCCATCCCGTTTCCTTCACTCACTCTTCAAGGCCCCGTCTGCTCACCGTTTTGCTCACCTTCTCTGTCCTCACTATACTTGATCTGTTTCTCTCTTAAACAGTTTGCGTCTGGAATTGAATACAGCCTCCTAGTGGTAGCTTCATGTCAGCAGAATAGAGTAAGTCCCACCGCTTTTGTACAAACTTCCCTGCTACCTAAACTCAAGTTTTATTATGGAAAATGTCAAGCACACAAAAGTAAAGAGACTGGAATAGTGACCCTGAGCCCTCAAGGGTCCCTCTCCAGATTCAACAGTTACCGACTCATGACCAGACTTGTCTGATTTGCACTGTCTCGGGCCCAACTCTGCAATTATTTTTAAGCAAATCAGACATATTGTTTCATCGGTAAAGATGTCAGTATACTTCTATGAAAGGTAAGGATTCGTTATAAAAACCCGACATAACCACACACTGTTATCGCATCTAAAAAAGGGTAAATTCTTTAACATCGTCAGATATACATCTAATCCAATTTAAAACCATACATAAACACTCATGCACACAAACACGCACTCCAACTGTTTTCAGGCAGAAATTTACAGTGTTTTTGATGAACATAACCTTTTCTGAGCCTCCTAACAACCCAGTGCCTACACTACAGCTGTTTTTTTTGTCGAATGGGTTCAGTTTAGGCGAGGACATTCATCATTATTTTCCAGATGAGGACAACGAGGCTTAGAGAGTGGCTCAAGCCTGGGGGCAATGGTAAGGCCCAAGTTTTGGAGCCGGGCAGAGTTGTCTGAATCACTCCTCTCCCTCTTCCGTGCTGTGTGACCCTGGGCAAGTTAACCAACCTCTCTGAGCCTCGGGTTGCTCCCCCGGTAACATACGGCCTATTCAGAAGTTAAAAAGCTATTGTCAGTATTCAAGCTACTAACTTAAAAGAACCAGAATCTGAACCCAGATCCCCGCCGACTCCAAAGCCCGAGCTGTATTCACCGCATCAAAAAAGGCGATCAACCCCGAAGGCATCAGGTCGGCCACAGACACACCGGTGGCGGGACGGCGGGGCGCCCCGCTCGGCCCGCTCCCTCCCTTCACCCCGCGGCCCGACTCTCACCCGCTCCGGGCCCCGGCGGTCTCAGGATGCTGCGGCTGCACGCGGCCACCACCCGCCCGAAGGTGACCGTCAGCGCCGAGGCCGCCACGGCCGCCGCCATCTTCCCGCCGCCTCGGCCGGAAGCGGAAGTGGCACGAACCTGGTACGTCGACGCACGGGGCCCGGCGGAGAACAGCGCCCGCGCGGCGGGTGGACCTCGGCGGCTGCGGACCCTGGCGGGCGGCGGCCATGGGCTCGGGGGCCGTGGAGAGCTTCGTGACCAGGCAGCTGGACCTGCTGGAGCTCGAGAGGGACGCGGAGGTGGAGGAGCGCAGGTCGGCGCGGCCGGGCCTCTCGGGGTCGCTCCGGCCGGGCCCCCGGCCCCGCCGCGCTCAGCCCCGGGCGGGCCTCCGAGGGCGCGGCCCGTGCTCCCCGCTCCCCGGGCCCGGCCGCCTGCGGGGAGGGACGCCGCGTCCCCTCCCGGCCCCCCGGCGGCCGGTCCGGTCTCGACCCCTGGGACGCCCTCTCTTTGCTCGCCCTGAGTCCCCTCTGCCCGGCCACGCGGGTCCTGCGCTGTCCCCAGTTCCGTCCCCGCGTGCCTCAGCCTCGCCCTCGGTGTCCGTCTCTGGATGCTGGCGCCCGTTCTCGGGGGCCCGAGTGAGAGGGAGCCATTGATGGGGTCACTGAGAGGCCGAGTCTGGGCAGAACGGGCGGACAGAGGCGTGGACGGTTCCCTTCCAGCCCGACCTGTGCGGACGCGCTGGGGAGCATGGGGGAGCACGGCTGACCCTGGGGGGGCAAGTCGAGGATGGCTGCGGGGAGGAGGCGGTGTCGGAGGGGGATGCGGAGGAGGAGCATTCCTGGAAGAGATGCGGGGAGGACGGGAGCCAGGGGGGAGCCCGGCTTGTTGGGAATGTTCGTTAGGCTGAAACACTAAGAGCTAACACTCCTTGCGGTCAGTGAAAGCACTTTACATGCGTTAATTCCTTTAAATCTCGTGTCAACCCAACGAATTAGGTTACTGTTATTCTCATTTTACGTCTAAGGAGGCGGAGACAGAGAGAGGTTAAGTAACTTGCCCCACGTAACAGAGGTGGAGTGAGGATTTGAGGTCAGGCAGCCTGATTCTAGAGTCTGCACTCCAGCATTGTGCTACATGCGTTGATAGGATTTGCTTAAAAGGTTTTTAATCGTGATGGTTAAGAGCTTTTGCAGTCATATTGACCTTAGAAGAATCCCGGTTCCTTTGTTTATGGCTGTGTGACTTTGCAGGGTACATCTCTGAGCCTTAGTCACCTCGTCTGTAAAAGGGGTTATACCCCCCACCCCCCCAGGATTGCTGTGAGAATGAAATGATGTTTGTCAGGTGCTCAGCGTGATACCCAGCGCAGAGTAAGCACCCACCAATAGATACGCAGGGCTCAGATTGAGAAAGGCCTTGCTGAGGAGCTGGTGTGATGTTCTGTGCGCAGAGGGTGGCCCCCAGCGCAGTTAAAGCAGGTGAGGGAGGCGAATGGATTTGCATTTTAGGAGGAGCGCTCGGGTGCTGCTTCTGGTGACTGGACGGGAGAGCTAGGAGGTGAGACTGTAGGAGGCTCAATTTAGTCCAGAGGATCAGTGATGTGGGCTTGAACGAGGCTGTGGCAGCCAGAATGAGAGGCAGAGGCGGATTCTGAGGGTATAAATAGGAGGGCCTGAGAGGACTTAGTGACACATGGGAACCAGGATTCGAGGAGAGAGTAGGGAAGGTAAAGATGACCGAGGGTTCTGTCTCAGGACCTGGGAGAAGGGCCGTGGCGTGAACTGCAGTGGAGGATCTGGAGGAGCAGGTTTGAGAGAGGGGCAGATCTGGAGTTTCGTTGGGTCGTAGTTGGTCCCTGTGCACAGATCCTGGTCTGTTTTTCTCTCCTTTTGCATTCCTCCTGCGTGGGTAGACACTTCAATATTGCGTGTCTTACAGGTCCTGGCAGGAAAACATCTCTCTGAAAGAACTCCAGAGCCGAGGCGTCTGTCTGCTGAAGCTGCAGGTGTCCAGCCAGCGGACTGGGCTGTACGGACGGCTCTTGGTCACCTTTGAGCCCAGGAGATGTGCGTCTTCGGCTGTGCTGCCCAGTAACAGCTTCACCTCCGGTCTGTGCATTTTTGACATACATTGACTATTGCTGATTTTCAAACTGCGACTTTTACTCTTGTAAGGACTGGGTTACATGTGACCAGTTGGAGACTAAAGCATTGCAATGAAGAACGCTTAATTAGAAGTTCAGCAGTCACGTGGTTCTTGATAGCCCAGATCAGCACTGTCCAGACTGGTAGCCATGTGGCTAGTGATGGCGGCATGTGTAAAGTACACACCAGATTTTGAAGATTTAGTACAAAAAAGTTAGAATCCCTCAAGAGTAATTTTTTTGAATACTGACTGCATGTTGAAGTGATAATATTTTTCATATATTGGGTTAAGTAAGATATATTGTTGTTAAAATCAATTTACCTGTTTCTTTTTAATTTTTTAATACAGCTACAGGAAGATTTAAGGTTATGCGTGCCTGTCGTTACATTTCTTCTGGGCAGCCCTGGTCCCGATTGTTAGCATGCAGCGTGCCTGGTTCTGTGTTCCCACACCTGTGTCGTGCCACGCACACTTTGGCTCAACTTGTGGCCGCCATACTGGAAAGGAGAGGCAGTCAGAAGTAGCTTCCTAACCACACACCTGGGACGCTTGTTTAGGCCTCAGACTGGAAACCTGGAGAGAGCAGTGCTGCCAACACTGTACTCTCCCTAGAAACATCTCTTGTCTAACGTCTCTTGTCAAGGCACAACAACGTGCCTTGTCTTGGTGGGGCAGTTGATTTCCTAGACTCTTGCCCCACAGTTGTTGGAGTACTGGCTGGATTTGGAGACAGATGGGAGGGAGAGTGATGAGGGGAAGCTGCTGGTCAGAGTCGGACCTCAGCAGAGTTTGAGATCTTACACTTTCTTGTTAAGTGACCGTCCTCTGAAGGCCAGGGCCAAGGGGCTTATAGCGGTGCCTTTTGGCCTGACTGTCAGGATTAAATGAGCGGGATTGAATGTGCAGGGGGTTTGTAAACCCCGAAGACCAAAGGTAAAAGTCTATATTCAGTTAGAAAGCCTTGTGGCGTGAATGACCCAAGAGATTGACGAATAACAGGAAGTCGGAAGGAGCGGCATTTGTGTGGAAAAGCAGCCGGCTGGGAATTTGATGTGTTGCTGCTGCTATTGATCAAATTCAGGTGGACGTATGTTTCGTCTTCCGAGGAGTAGTTTTAAAGCTCAGTCACTTTGAGGTGTAAATTCTGAGGTGTGAGCTCCTATTCAGGGCGCTCACGGGGAGGTCACAGTGGGGATGGGGTCCCTGCTCACAGAGCCAGACCTCTGCCTCAGGAGCGTTGCTGCCACCTGCTCTTTGTTTTTAAAAGTTGGGGAAGGAGACAGAGGAAAGAGTCAAGGTGCGGGTGAAATTCATTGCCTAGAAGGGAAACAGCTAGGGCTGAAAATGTGCCTGGTTGGTGCATGGCACATACTTTCGGACGTGGACTAACTAGGGTGCGGATACATGGGAGCCCTGGCTTTATCTCAGTGGATTCTCTCTTGGTCAGAACTGTCTGTGTTGCGGGTGACAAAACCCAGGCCAGACTGTCCTGTGCAGGAAGGCTTGCGTTGATAACTGGGAGGTTGGTTCAGGGCCCAGAGGACTCAGTTTCTCTCCGTTTCTTGGCTTTGCCCTCTTGTGGATTGGCTTCCTTCTCAGGCGCCACGTGGTGGTGGTGGTTCTAGCCCCTGTGTCCTCTCAGGTTTCTGGTCGAGCTGGAAAGAGTGACGATTTCTCCCCTAGATGCCCGAGCAAGACTGTCACTTGTCTCAGGCACTCTGATTTAGTCCCTGCCTCTCCCTGAGCCAGTCACTGGTGGGGTGTGGGGAAGCCCTGATTGGCTCCCACGTGGGTCCAGTGCTCCATCCCTGGCATCGGGGGAAACCCTTCAGACTCACCTGGCGGGCATGTGAATCGCCGAACAGCATCACAGGGAGTGGGGAGAGCCATGCTGAGTGGGCAGCAGACACCCACTGGCCCTCCTGCATCCATGTTCGTTTCTGCCTGGAATGCTCCCCCCTAGATGTGCTCATGGCCCCCACTTCAGGGCCCACCCTGCTTACCTGTCACCAGAGAGGCCTGACCACATACTCTTTCTGAACTGGCCCCTCATCCCTGTCACCCCGCCCTGTGCTTCATCTTTCCATGGAGCCCTCCGCACTGACAACTGGCAGACGGGTGTGTTTATTCCTCTCGTCCCTAACGGGAGGGCGGGGCCTGGGTGTTATTCCTGATCAGACCAGTGCCTAGACCAGTGCCTGGCCCGAGGAGGCACTTAAATATCTCATAGACTCTCAGGTTTGTTTTAAACAGTTCATTGATCTCAATGATCTCAAGTCAGTTTTCATATGTGATTTAGATGGTAGTTAAGAAAACTTTTTTGTGCTGCTACTGATTTCATTTCTAATGAAAGTAACAGGATATTTGAAATATGCTGGAATTAGTATATGAAATAATCTGCATTTAACTTTGTCCAGTGTTTTATGTAACTGAGCCTTTGTTTCCGCAGGTGATATAGTGGGTCTGTATGATGCTGCTAACGAAGGCAGCCAGCTGGCCACCGGGATCCTGACCCGGATCACCCAGAAGTCGGTCTCGGTGGCCTTCGACGAGTCCCATGACTTCCAGTTGAGCTTGGACCGAGAGAATTCCTACAGACTCTTAAAACTTGCTAACGACGTCACGTATAAGCGACTGAAGAAGTGAGTGTCTGAGACTGGACATCACGCATAACACTTTCCTTACCTGCAGCTCCCTCCCTCTGGCCGCTTGTCCTGCTGGGCCAAGAGGTTCGCATGCCCCTCCCGTGAGGTGGGGCAGGGGCTCGGGCGCTGAATGAATGGCTGGTTTTCACCCAGCTCCTAATTAGTTTTCTCCCTCGGCAGAGCTCTGATTACCCTCAAGAAGTACCATTCTGGCCCAGCATCCTTGCTCATAGAGGTCCTCTTCAGCGAGTCAGCCCCCAGTCCTGCCAGTGAAATACGTAAGAACTTTTGGTTTTTCTTTTCTGGTTGAAATCACCGCGGAAAGCATCAGGCACGGCATGATGGTCATTTTAGCAGGAGTTTGAGAATGTACAATCAGAAGAAATCCACCTTCGTATCTGTGTGTGAATTTCTTCAAATGACTTGCATGAACTCGACTGTTTCCTGTGCTCGATGTCAAAGAAGTAGCTCATTCCATTGATTTTTTTTTATAGTGTTCTTTCTAATATATCTAAATATTTTATTTTGAAATGTAGGGATATTTCTTCTAGCTCAGTGCTCTGTGAAAATAGAGGATAGCTGATCGTACTTTATGCTCAGTAGCATTTTCTT